TGGAAGATACGAGAACGTGGGTTGGTACTCAGCTAGAATGTCGTACCACCTAGCCAATCGGCGATTCGCCATCTTCTGTGTGAACAACCCTTCGAGACTTTTGTGATCCGTCTCGACGATCGGTGGTTTGTCCAAGCAGTAAATTCGAAAAGCTGCTAGCGCGTGTACGATAGCAAGTAGCTCCTGCTGCTGTGTTGGATAGTTGAGCTCCGCGGATTTCATCTTTCGACTGGTATACGCAATGGGTCGCTCAACTCCGTCCACGACTTGGAATAATACTCCACCAACAGCGAATTTGCTTGCATCAGTGCGCAGATGCATGGACTGGCTGAAGTTAGGGAGGTGCAACACTGGAGGATTACACAGCCGCCTCTTCAGCTCCTTGAAATTCTTCAACTGCTCATCATTGAATTGGATCTTCGCGTTCCTCTTGTTCTTCTTCTTCAAGAGAGTGAACATTGTTGCAGTAAATGCTGCGTAGTCTGGACAAAATCGTTGGACGTAACCAGTCAACCCAAGGAAGCTGTGAAGTTCCTCTTGTGTTCGTGGTACTGGCCAGTCCTTGATGGTTTGTACCTTGTCCGGATCCATCCGTACACCGTTGCGTCCTACGAAGTCCCCGAGACACGGAATCTCGTCGGCACAGAAGACACACTTGGCAAGCTTGACGTACAGCTTGTTGTCACGCAGGATATTTAATGTCTTGCGCAACGCCTTCAAGTGGTCGTCGATGCTCTGAGACTTCGTGAAAACGTAGATGTCATCATAAAACGATTTGGTGTTTTCCAAACCTCGGAACAGCTTTGACGTTAAACGATGCATCGTCGCTGGCGCATTACAGACTCCCATGGGCAGAACAAGACACTCCCAGAGTTCATTTGGCGCATGAAATGCTGTGAACTTGATATCCTCTTCATGCATACGTACTTGATAGTACGCGGACATCAAATCCATAGTGGAAAACCAGTACGCTCCGGACATCGCGTCAAGAATGTCCTCCTTCCTCGTCATTGGGATACTTTGACGTACAGTGTTGGAGTTTAGGTACCGGCAGTCGTGTACAATCCTCCAGCCAACTGGTTTTCGTACACAGAAGGTTGGAGCAGCATGTGGACTGATGCTTGGACGGATGAGCTTCTTCTTCACCCTGTCTACCACCCAACGCACAATCTCGCGTTGCTGCTCTGGCGATTGACGCCATTGTTGCCGATACATTGCAAGATTCGGATCCTCCACGTCAATCCTATGCTCAATCTCGCGTTTCTCGGGTAAACCTTCTGGGAGCTCAGGACGGAACACATTGTCCATGTACTCCATGAGTAACTGGTACGTGAGATTCCCCTTGAAGCTATCCCAGTCCGTATCCAGATACCGTTGTGCTTTCACACTTCCGACGTTGTCGGGTTGGTCTTGCCGTTGCAGTGAGCGAGCAACTTGCTTGATCGTCACGTTCGTCAGAACCAACATAAAGTCAGGTTCATCGATCGACTTGGTCTTGATTCTCAGGAACTTTCGTGGTTTCTTGCGAGTGATGAACTTCGTCTGGACAGTCAACGACACCCATCGTGAACATATTTTCCACGACAGTGCCTCTGCTCCCAGTACTGCTGCTATCTCCAGCCTCTCGTACAGTACCGCCGCGTTTCGACAATTCCAAGTTGTCCTTCACCGCCGAACCCTTGCCGGCTGACGCGTCTCCTGGTTGTTCGCAAACAACTCTTGGGCTCTCTTTCTGCGTTGCGTCGCAAACAGTTTCAGCCGCGGACTTCACATCCGTTTCCAGCGCGGCACCTCGACAGGAATCAGGTCTTTTCGCCGATAGGCCTTCCGCCTCGACAGATCTCCGAAGCCCGGAGGCAATCACCGGTCCGCCTTCCTCGATCGGTCCACTGGTTTCCCCTGTTCGCTTCCAATGCAGAGTCTTCACTTGCGTTCCTTCGATACATCGACCTCTCCAGTCGATCTGCGGCTGCATATCCTCGAAGAATGGGATTCCAAGGATGCAGTCGAATTCGTCGGGTATGGCGTAGACGACAGCGATACACTTGTATGCCTCGCCCAACCCAGACACCAGAATTTCGAGGGGAAGTACCTCCAGTTCCGTCTCGACAATCTGGTTGTCTCCAAGTTTCACACGAATGTTCTTACCAATGAACTTCGTGGCCTTGAGTCGATGTTTCTCGACCCACTGTCTGGACACGTAGATTGTGGTTGCTCCACAGTCCAACAGCATCCTTTGGGTCGAAATGGTCGCGCCACTAACGATGATTTCCCCCTTTACGGAGAGCAGTGGACGCGACTTGTAGACGAGAGGGTTTTCGCTCAGAACGTTAAGGCTGACATTCTCGAACTTGACTGATCCGACGTTCTCCTCCACGACAGGACCCTCATTCACTGACGTGGCTGCCCGTTTCCCTGCTTCTCTTGCTTCTTCTTCCAAAGGAAGCAGTTGGTCTTGATGTGGCCAGGTTTCTTGCAGTGGAAACAGGTACGACTTTCGGCTCGTTTCGAGCTAGTCTTCGCCTTGAAACGCCCTTTACCACGAAACGTTTTTCCCTTGAGCGACTTGTCATGACTCGGCGCGTGCTCAGTGGACGGCTTCCGCTTGTCTTGGCGAGTGTGACGTTCGCACGACTCGTCGACGAAGTGTGTCACCGCATACTTGACCGCAAGGTCCATTGCGTCACTCAGGGTCTCTGGGCTCTCGAGCTTGACATAGCTACGCGTGCGCGGCTTGAGACCGTTCGCGTAGTATAGTACTTGGTCAAGCACGCTCATTCCTACAGCTCTGAAGATCAAGGCTGAATACTCGCCATTGTAGGTCTCGATGTCCGCTGTCTGCTTGAGGCGTTGAAGCTTCTCGCGCAGGACAGACTGGTAATTTGACGCTTCGAAGTGTTGGAGCACATGCTCACGGAAAATCCCCCACGTGTGCTCCTCCGCTCGAGTTGTCGACGACCAGTGCAGAAACCATCCGGATGCTGGCTTTTTCATTGCCGATCCGGCGATTCCAGGATGACGCGCGCTCGTGTCTTCAATTGGAATGCTGTTGATGCGGCAGGCGTTCTCGATCTGGAACAGCCATTCGCGGACGTCTTCCCCCCTCTTGCCCGTGAACTTGGGCAGATGGCTCGGCACTTTCGTGCGGTCGGCCATCGCTTGGTTCAGCCGATCGATCTCGGCGCGTAGCTGGGCGATTGTTGGCATGGGCTCCTTCTGGTCAGGTTGCTGAAACCAACAAGTGCTACCCGTATTTCAGGAAACGCTAGCTTGGGGGAGGGCGCGCGAAACGAGAAGTGCCGCCCCCGCAGTTCAGGCGGATGGAACCTTCTAGAATCTTCTAGAAGGTTCCACGGCCGCCCTTCATCTGCCTTTTTGTATTACATACTAAATCTATGTTAAACTGATCCTGTCTCTGATTGGCTGAAACTCTACACCTATCATATCTGATACAGCAACACTCAAAGTGTTTTGGGTACAGCGAATACCGCAGCCAAAGTGAAACGCTCCAACAGGAATCGGTCGCGGGATCGACAGAAACTGGAGACCCTGCAGCTACAGGCTGAAGCGGAATGGCTGCAGCATCGTGTTGCAGAAATGAAAGACAAGCAGAGAGCTGCCGAAGAAGCGTATGTTGTTGCAACTTTCGAACACCACGATCTGCTCTTCGACGTGTGGAAGGATCTAGCAATCAAGCACCGACGGCTACGAAGCGAAGCCGAGACGGAAAATAAACACCTTAGGGGCCTTTACGCAAACCAAGTACACACACTCGAAACGTTGCGAAGCCTATTACAAATGCAGGAGCGAGTGCAGGTTAGTCCGTATCTTCCGAATCATGAGCATGTCGTATTTTCACAATGATAATGTATTCTAGAATACCCTTCGCTTCACAACAAGGTATTACGTTTGCTCATCTTTTGACGCTGACGACAGCGCTATAGTAGCCATGGAGCGTCTTTATGGCGACCTTGGCCAGCTTTATGCCGATACCGAACGAGTATTACTTTCAAAGGGTCACATACAGAAATCGTTACTGCGCCAAGATCGATTGCGAATGTGAGTCCAATCACAGACAGCGTGACTGCCATTGACGTTCTATTCAATCGGGTCATTCCATTCGACTATAAGGCTGTTGCAGACTGCTTCTGGCACGAAATGACTAGACACTATGTGGAGAATGAAGTCGAACGAGGACAGGTAGGCTTCAATATCGCTTCAATCTTGAAATACACAACTACAATTCTAACTTTTTTTTGCCATCCAGTCGCAACGGGATGCAAAAGTGTCTACGATTTCGCAAGCGCTCACAATGGAATTGGAAGACGATGGGGTCCTTGTGAGGATCCAGTCCCGCTATGCCGGCAAACGGATAATCGATAGACACCGCCAAGTTGTTGTGCTTTCGGGACGAAGTCAGTTGCTGGAAGTGTTCGGTATTGCTGTAAATGACGTTAATTTTCAAGAGAAATATTGGCTCGTCATGAGCGAAGCAACACCAGGAGTGACAATCGTGAACGTCTGCATAAGTATGTACCGGTACGTTCATTTTGATTGCGAAATGCCCAACCGCCAACAATTCGTCGATCGAACGTGTCAAATGCTGACCGAGCAAAAGCAATTGGGCTTCGAGCCAGTGCTGCAACGTGTCGAGCAGAGTTTTCTCTCAGGCTACCCGTCATAAGTCTGGAAATGGCACTGTACTGCCTCACGCCCGAGAACCACAAACGAAGTTTTATTCGAGTGCTGCAACAACGACAACATGAACTCCGCATCTTTTGATGGGGTTTGCTAGTACAGTTTTCAAATATAATGCCTAATTTCTCGATTAAGTCTATTATGTAGGTATACAATTTATGAAGGAATCCAATTTTAGCTAGTCATGTCTGTCAGAATGCCTTATACCAGTGTATCGGATAGTAAAAGTTGCGGAAAATGCAGGTGGACCAATAGGGTGGACTGTACTCGCCATGTCCCACATAAAGACTGGCTTGACCAGCATGAGCTTCGTGCTGCTGGAGGACGATGCGGATCCTCGGTCCACGATGCAAGAGGCTTTTGTCATGATCAACGCGAGTGACGAGATCCCTATTCTGTCCGATATCCCCAATGAAAAACACTCGCTAAGCGCTATCAAACTCAGTCGCCAGGAGCTGAACCGCGAGCGGGATTTTCGATGTCAGCAGCAAAAGGAGGAGCGATTGCAGTTGCAAATGCAGACGCAACGCCTGGACATGTATTTATCACAATTGAGAGAAAGCAGCAGCAGTCCACGAAGCTCTGAGACGAGAGAATCGAGTTGTGTCACTCCAGAGATGCAACACCAGCGAGTGGAAGCAGAACGGCTTAATAAGTCGCTCACAAAGGCGCTAGTAGCCGAGAAAAAGTGGTCGAAGAGTTTGCAATCCGTACTAGACAAACAATCGTCGATGGAGACGGTATCGCTAGCGAGTTCCATGCTGATGAGCTCAACACCAAGTGTACACAGCAGTCCTACGGTGTTGAAAGACGACCCAGTGGCCATAAGGAGAGAGATCATGACGCTGATGGACACAATGTACCATGAAGCCAAGGCGACAGTAGATCCGGTAAATGGCGCGGCGGCGTCGATACCGGCATTGTCGTGCCATTACAACGTTAGATTGGACCCGAAAAGAGGTCCAACTTCTCAGTTAACGTCGGAAACTCCGCTGGATTGCAGCTTGGATTCCTCTCGAGAACTTTTATCGGCCATGTTTTCCGTGCCAGATCCTGTCCAGCCAAGCTTAAAAATTCGCAGAACTCGGGTACGAAGTTGTGACTAGAAAATGCCGTAGTACCACTATTTCTAACGCATTTCTAATTATTGTAGGCGAAGAGAACGTATACTGAGGGGGAGATAGAGAAAGAATTCACAGTGGATCTCGGAGGATCTAGAATGAACGAGTGTCTGGACGGAGTGGGACTCCTGCGCCGACACAGCGAGGATGACTGCGAACTGGTCATCTGGGCTGCCATTTCGTTCCATCACAGCGGCAAAATTTCGTTCCGCGAGTGTTCGTGGATGGCAGCGGCGCGGTCAGCGCCGTCTACTGATAAAGAGTCTGTTATACGCGTTAAGTACCGTCTTAGCGCTGAGAAAGCCCAAGGATGTACCTATATTAACGGCGAACATATTGACCAAGTACGTAACCACGCGCTTCAAGCTATAGGGGCCAAGATGAAGGCGAAACATCACATGCTGCAGAGGAAAATGCTGATTGAAACAGGTAGACAAGACCTGGCGAGTTTTATCACGTAAGAGTATAAAAGTTCGATTGAAGGAACTTGACAACCCTCGATCGAGTTTTTCTTATTGTAATATTTACAAAATGGTTGAAAATGGAGAGCAGAAGAAGCGACACAGGGCAGAGGCGGACTCTGGTGACTGGCAGTCACCAGTCTCTGACTGCTTCGACCACTTCATCTACGACGTTTGTGAAGTGAGCTGCTTTGGTGATATCATACACGCTTTACTTCACTGCTTTTCGTCTCTACACTCGGACGACTTACGATTGGCTCATTGGGTGGCCATACAGCAACCGGAGAGGGAATTTTGAGAAAAAATAAACCTTCTTTTAGTTGTTTCTAACTCTGTAGTTCTGCCTGCTCCAGAATCTTAAGCTGGACGCGCTCCTGTCTAGATTTCGCCATCAACTGGTGCTTCCTGGCAACTGGAATGTCGACCTTGTCACTGTCACATTGAATGCCGAAGTTTCGACCTGCCAGTCGACTATACATCCGAACGACAGACTCACCGTCAGGGTTGCCCTGATCGAGGCTTGCCAGCTTTTTAACCGAGATCCATCCTTGCGACGTGAAAAACGGTTTCCCTTCAGGTTCCACCATCATCGACGTCCACACGAGAAGAGCGTGGTCGTTTTGGTCGAATTTCTCCATCAGTGTCACTCCGTCAACAGCGTTCGGGCTGTCAAACTTGACCGAATAGCCCCATTCCGCAGAGCTTTGTGTTTGCTTCGTCACCTACACTTGCAAAACTGTTAGTAGAAGTTCAGCACTGTATCTTGAATAAAATGAACCCACTTTAATCGTGTAGCATCCGGAGTTGGGGCCTAAAACTTCTTTGGCCAGCATCATCTTCCACAACATCGAACCGGCAGTTTTTACGTTGCAAGTCAAAGGCGTCGAGCTAAGCAGTTCGATACGAGGTCCAGAAATCGGATCTTCGTATTTTAAATAGCAGTTCGATACAAGGTCCAGAAATCGGATCTTCGTACTTTAAATTCGCTAAGTAGCAGCATGTACCCAACTCCATTTGGAGTCGTGTTTTTGAACACGTCGTTGCGTTCGTAGAAGGTCTACTTGCACCTTGTATTGAGATACTTGGCTTCGAAGGGGGTCTCTCTCCGCCTTCTTCTTCTCACGTCGACAACGCTCGTACGCAGGGTACACGTTTCATCTTGTCACTGTCTGTTGTATTTGTCAAAGAGAATTGTGCATTCGGAGGCGAGGCATTTGCATCTTCGTAGGTATCGATGAAGGCCAGGATATCGTGTAGCAGGGATTAAGCGTCTTGCTGTTCGAGTAACGACAGCTCCAAACTCATTTTTCTATAATGCCAATTGTTGCGGAACAAAGATAAATACTACAATCATTCCGTAAATAAACGACCAGCATTCAAATATTTTAAAAGATGCGCTGCAAATAATAAAGCGATTTTTTTTTGGTGCACTACAGTGCCTTCAGGGGATATTCTAGCACCGTTAAACACTCGGGGGACAGTATCCTGGCCTCTCAATAGGTGAAGTAGCACTGACAACATGTCCGCCTTCCGCTGGAGGCGGTTTACTCGACTGGTTGTAGTCAGGGGTTCCGAAAATGTTATTTTTATTAAAAACAAATTATTTTGCAGTAAAATACCTTATTTGCGAGCTCCCATTTCAGAATCAAATTATCTATTCCGCGCTCTCTCCAGGCAATTACCTTTAAACGAGCTCGATGGAGCCCTACGGACCAGCGGTCCAGCTGAACCGCAATCTACAATCGATCTGCCGCTCTCTTGCCCTCTCATTTTGATGGTTGATCGCTGAGACTCCGCGAGAGCCACCTGCATTTTGTGCATCATTGTCATTGTTCGATCTGTCTCCACCAACTAGACGAGTATCAGCCCACTGTATATTGCATGCAATAACACCAATAATTTTTGCACCCGTGGCGCTCCAAGCACTTAAAGCTATTTGTATTGCTGTTTTGCCAGTCTCAATAATAATATCATTTTCGGAACCTCTGGTTGTATGTAATATCCCAGAAGAATTGCGTCGACCCATGGATGACAATCTTCTAGCCAAGCATTTTGTCAGCTACAGACGACCACGCCCCATCCTTTATAGGGTTTGGAAACCTGCATCATAGCATGTTCTTCGTAATTGTGAGCTGGCACTTAATAGTGACGATTAGAGAGTCTTCCGGTCCGTCCTCCATTCGTAGAGGCCCCAGGTCGATGGCGTCATAGCATCGGGACTGAAGGGCAAGACTCTCTATTAACGCGTCAACACCAAAAACCGCTCCGTCTGTGACGTCGGGTGTCATTGTTGTCTGAATTGCGCTTGATTCTGGCAAAAATTTGAGGGCATTTTCCTCAAAATTGGACCTGTAACGTTTTGTTGAAAAAGACGGAAAAACTCGGCGGCAATGTTCCAAATCGTCGTATCTGTTGGAAGTCCGTACGATAAAAATCGCTACTGCAGCTCCAGCTCTGGAATCTCTTCTCTGAGGTGTGTAGCTGAGGCTTCAAGGTCTGCTACAAGTTGACGCTGCTTTATCTTGTAACGTGCCTGGTGTATGCAATTCCATCGACGTCGAAGCTCGATGTAAGCAGATTGTTGAGTGTCTAGATCATCAGCACACGACGGATCTTCTGTCTCGCGCGCCTTTAAGTAAGCCGTTTGATGGCTTAGATTATTTGACAGTAGACTCGATGGGCGACTGGACATTGATGCAGAGCGAAATACGTCGTCAGCCCTCCATTCGTTTTCGAATAAGCTATTGCGATCGCGTGTACCCCTCTCATCTACAGAGCCGACTAAATCGTCGGTCTGGACCTCCTGGTTCGGCAGGTAAGAGAATACTGCTGTCAATTGCCAGCTATCGCCTAATGGTCAATATCTATGGGGAGTTCCCTGTGCGTGAATGACCACGCAGCTTTTGAGTGGTGAGCGATAACAAAAGTTTGAATGATTTGTCGTCTAGTTTGGTACATAAGAAATGGGAGTTTCAAGATTTTGAAACATAGGTTTCGGAAAAAATAGCGACAGACGCAACGACAGCTCAAGAGCAGCACGACTGCAGCTCGCGTCTTTCGCTTCCCAAGCTTAAGCGTCCAAGAATCTAACCGTCGCCCCTCGATCTATAGTGACACGGTAGTTCGATAGCCCCTAATTGTAACGACAAATATTTTGGCCCCAAGTCTGAGCGTTGTAGGAGGGGGAAAACGATTACAGTACATGCTTCCTGTTCCGGTACTGGTATAAACTAATTCCCTGAAATTTCCGATGCAATCGTTTTAAAGAGGGAAAAATTGTTTGGGCCTTTGATAGGGGTCTTTTGGCGCCAGTCATTTTATCTGATCGCTCCACGCAAAGCTCGCACTTCACACAACAGAACCCGCAACGAGCAGCACATCTAGTCATGGGGAGGTGGATGAAGATACAGCAGAAGCGTGGGCTTATCCAGAAGGCAGCTGATTTCCCCAGCAAGAAGAGCTGAATACGTGGGCAAAGGCAGAGTACAAGTTAAAGCGGGTACCACCACAGACTACAGTCTCCATCATCCTGAAAAACGCAACCAAGATCATAAGCGAAGGCTACGGCGATGGCAAGAGGCGAAGACCGCGACACGTGACGTTGCCTGCGCTGGAGAAATTGCTACTGGATTGGATTATGAAGGTTAAAGCTATGGGTGTGTGCCTTTTTCGCAAATTAATTAAGATGAAAGCTCGTGATATACACCAAGACTTGTGTGATGCGTGGGACCCGACCTTTTCAAATGGGTGGCCAACCGCTTTTGAACGGAGGCACCGACTGAAGAGTCGAAAACTGCCTGGTGAAGCTCTATCTGCAGATCCTGTAGCGGTTGCCCTAGGCCGCCAGCGACTTCAAGAGATTACTGACCTGTACGAACCTAAGGATTTCTACAACATGGATGACACGGGGCTTTGTTACGTCATGGCTCCGGCCCGCTCAATTTGTACTAAGGAAGCCCGCGGCGCCAAGAAAAAGAAGACGAGAATAACCCTCACTCTTACTGTAAACGTGGACGGGGACTGACAAGCTGCCGGTGCTCTATCTGGGGCACGCAAAGAATCCTCAGTGTTTTAAGAAAGGCACGGCGGAGGAACTCGGCTTTAGCTACCGTTCTTAAAGGAAGGCGTGGATAACAGGCGTCATATTCAGGGAGTGCTTACTCAATTTAGCTAGGGATATGCGAGAGTGTGGGCGTCATATCCTCTTGCTTATCGACAATGCCTCTTCACACAAACTAGGGGATTTTGTGTGCACCAGTATTCGAGTGGCGTTTCTCTCCCCCCCAACACTACTGCGTTCCTACAACCTATGGACGCTGGCATTATCGCATCCTTTAAAATGGCGTACAAAAGGAAGCAACTCCGGTGGGTATACGACAAGATTAAGGACGGCGTTGAGATGGATAGTACGGCGTACGCTGTGGCAATGCAATGGAGCAATGAAATCTGGACTGAATTGCAAGGTAAGCGTACCAGTGAGAACTGCTTTCGCCAAACGGGTATTATATTTAATGCTGTAGATGAAAGAAGCAAAAATACCAATTTCATAAGCTACGGAATCAGATATAGATGTGGAGGACATTATTCTCCTTGCTTCTCAGTTGAATTTGTAGTGTTACCTTTATAAAATATATCGAATCCTAGGATATGGTCGGGCCACGATACCGATAGTAAAACCATGTACAGTAGTAGCCGGAACTGACCATTATCCATAACTGAACTCCTTATGCACAAATCCAAGCATTACCCACTGAGTAAAGTTTTCCGATATACGTTTTCTTGAAGAATGCGATCACGAGGTAGTGTACGCTCCGAATTCGTCATTGCTATCACTGCAAGACAGTAGCAAAGTTCAATCCATTCCAGCATAAGTTAAATGCCTACAGGGTACTTCGGAACAGAGGTCAGCCAAGGTGACACAAAAGATCTCACGAACGTTAATCAAGAATCCACTTCAGCCCGAGCTCGTACCAATCAATCGGCACTCGTCCTCATCGAAGCGAACTTGAATGTAGCGCTCGCGTGCTGGGTCGAGGACATCCATATCTTGATTTGAGGCATCCATATATACGTGTACATCTGGCACGCGCCTGGGGATACGCTTGCAAGACGTGTGCAAGCGTTGATAAAAAGGTTGCACTGACGGGAGGCAGATACAGACGTGCCTTAGGCTACCAAGAAGGCCATACAGGTCATGACGACTCACATCGTGACTCGGTGCCCTTTTTTCGGCACGCTGAAGAGCCTTGTTAGTCTTCGCTATCGGCATTGACACCGTCTTAAGCTCGGTATCAAATTGCAGCCCCAAAACTTCCAGGCGCGTCGACCATGAGGAACATTTGTTCTCGCTGATTGCTCGCGACCCTAGTATGGCTAGTATAGCGAGACAGAGTGCTGTCGCCGCGACAGATAAACGCGCCGGTGTGTCAGCTTCCACGAGGACATAATCATCCACCCATTCGTAAGGAAAGAGCGGCTCTGAATTGGGCTAGCTCCCCCGCTGAGTGAGCTGGGCTCTCGCGACCATGGTGGCGAGCCGGACCACCCAAACGACGCGGACATATCGACGACAAGCGCGCCGCACTGGGGTAGACGCCCGACCATCCCCCGGACGGCCTCGCTCACCAGCACTAAGTGCATGAATGACCCTTGACAGCTCCTTCTTGGGCACGGCTCCAAACGGGCTAAATTGTATACCATGCAAGGAGGCAGCGATGTCATCATCGAGCAGTAGATACGGACCAGCAGCTTGACCCTTGCTGATGCTTGATACGGCGGCACCTAGGTGTCTGTTGGCAGAATGGTAATTGGCAGGTGGAATATATTCGTGCGGATCACGTTGCAGCCACCGTGGAGATATACCTTCCGATGCAATTGATTGCAGAAGTTGTCTGTGGTGGTAACCCTGCAGCAGGACCTCGTAGCCACGAGGGCATAAGGCCTTGTGTAAGCGTCGATATTCTGGTGTCTGACCTCACACTAGCTCAACCAACTGGACGAGAGAATAGCCATGGTAGCGCGTAGTCGGAAAGAGAACGTTGTCGTACATATTCCACTGAGGCTGAAATTGCTGGTTCTGTCAGCTCAACGGTGTTTGGCATTTCGATCTGGTAGGCATTAAGAGCACTAGAAATGACCAGGTCTCGTCGGATGTCAGCTGCGCACAAGGCGTGTTTAAGTGATCCTTGCACAATACTTGGGTCAGGCAGCCCAACCAGTGGGGAAAGCGATTCCTCTTAAGATGTGGGTATTTCGAGCCGACGTATAGCCTGTACGGGGACGTGGAAAACCTTGGTGCTGCTAGGTTGAGCCGTCGCAGTAGGTAGTAGAGCCGCCCGTGTGGTACACGGGCGGATCTGAAACTTGGCCTTCGATGAAGGTTCGGCAGACAATTGCTGGCTCACCCAGTGGGTGCTTATATGTAGTGGCTTACGCCGACATCGTGTCGAAGATGCCGGGTTGAACATGGAGGGTGGACGCTGTTTTCACGGTGTGAATCGGCAGGTTTCAGAGCTTGCGCCAAATTCAGCTCGATCTCCCCTCAGGAATCAAACGGATATGTTTCCAGTCTAAGCTGCGTACGCTGGGCGAACGCAGCTCAGACGTGCTCAGGCTTGCGTCGGCCGCAGACGCATACCACCCAGCGTTTTTTGCAATGTACGCACGTACGCACATACGCACATCGGTATCTCGGCAGGCCAGAAGTGCAGTCGGTCTCGAAACGTGCATTTTGCTGGGTCTTTTGTGCTGCAGCCCCTCTTGGATAAATAGTGGAGGCATACTTCCTTATTGTCCCTTATGCTCTCGCCAGCGTACCCGGGTGCCATGCAAACCAGTCCATGCTCAAACAAACTCAATAAAGGCATCACTTGACAGCCATCCAAGGAAACAACGTCGCTTTTAGTGCCGGTAACTCGTCGTTATCTATGAGTTGTTGACATATTTTGCGAAAAAAGAAATTGCATTTTTGGAAGCCAAAAACCAGTAATTATCGTATCATTTAGATATACTTAATGTCCTTCCATCAAAACTTACGCAAGTTTATCTTTTAAATATGCTGCTATTTTGTGTGTCTAGAAAGTAACTGACTCGATTTAAGGGACGACATATTCACATTAGCAATGACAGCAATAGCTGCAGTATTTAGTTTATGCGAGAATGTTGTTGGTAGAGCATATCAATAATCCTTACATCGACAACTTGCAACTTGGACGGTCGACGCGGCAAACGCTACTATAATTCATGTGAGAATGGTTGGGACATTCCAATTATTTTTTTTGACAAAATTACATTTACATTTACGTGTCCTTTGTGTTGCGTCGTACAGTTTCTCATCATTCATATAAGTAATTATTGCTCTCAATAATGTCGCCTCCACTGGAAGTCAGGAGTAATGATAGTTTTTTCAAACACAACAGCGACGTCATCTAAGCTCCCAAGAAATCGTAGGAATGGCGTCAACAAATCTGACTGAGTAGTCATTCTCGACACTCGACCGAGGACTGGGTCCCAACCGAAATGTGCTGATCCATGTGCAGTAACCCGTCGTCCGAGCAGAGCGTTCGCAATCTGTAAATTTCTGCTTACTGATTCACCTCCCTTCGAGCTCATGTGAGGGAAAACCTTTTCCAGTGTTCGTTCGTTGATGGTAAAACTTGTTGTCATGGTGGCATTAAGAGTGTTCGCAGAGTTCTGGTTGAGGTCTACTAAATGAAGCTCAACGTCTTTAAGCCAGAGACTTTGGCACTTCCACATTTACATTATCTCTTCTGCGCCGCGTCTTGAGTTGAAAAGCACCTCCTCACTCATATTCTCGAGCAGGAAGTAAAGCTGGGAGGATGCCATTGTCACAGAGTCTGACGAGGACTTTCCAGACGACTGGCGAGCTCCGAAGCGAAAGACTTGAAAATACTTGAGTGCAACTTCCCAAACACTTTTGTCAGTCGGTACAGCAGACGAAACTGCACGACGTCGCACCTCGAGCTCCTCTATCTCCATCTGTAACTGCACTGTGGTAGCTTCAAGCTTCTTCGCCAATGCATACTTCTTCTTCCTATATCTTACCTGTCGCATTCGACGCAAATCACGTTGACGCTCTTCTCCTTTCACAGTCGAGTTAATCACGTTTTTCTCCACGATCGGTGCTTGTATAGTTGCGATAGATATGATACGTCGATCATGTATATTGTATGCTTTTCTGTTCAGCGAGTACGACGAAGGGTGTGAGTCTTTGTGGTAGGTGAAATAGTCGCCATCTTCGCCTTGCGTGCACTCATTGAACAGCCAGCCACGCTGTACGACACTACCAATCACATCATCGCTGAAGGACTGGCTGTTGGGTGGGTACAGCGTGTAACTGTCCATGGAAACACAAGAGTTTAAAATGTCTTTCTGGTGTCCGAATCGGAAATGGCGACGACAGCTCACTCGTGACGGGATATAGTGACTTGATTCGTATCATGTCAAAGTACGAAAAGAACAGCTGATACGAATGATGAGTCACAACAAAAAAGTCTAATCGGCGATAACGGCGACTTTAGGTCGAATGACTAGAGACGATACTGGTAGAAGTCGCATGAACCAGAAAGCCACACTTCACCGTTATGTAAACAAAAATCCTCACACTGAGTCACGCTTAACTACTACGGACCAGGCTGTACTAATCGTGTTTATAATTTAGATTCATAGTTTTAGAAAGAATCACAATTAACTAGCACGAAGGAGCGCACGCTCGACTTCCTGTTGCACCGAGTCGAACATGTCTTGCTTGAAGGTGGCTAGCAGCTCGCACAACGTACCGATAAATTCACGGCGACCGCCCAACAGTGGCTTGGCTTCTAGCGTCACGCTAATGCATAGCTGGATAAGACATAGACCCGGCGACACCTCTGACAGTACGCACCAAGATCTTTCCTGGTATCTGACCCCGTCAACTGCAACACCGAACGCTTCAAAGAACTCGTTCTGGCCAGAAAGAACGATAACTTCTCGCTTGGCTTCCACGTATTTGTATCCCGTAAAGCGAAATCGAATCTTCATACGTTCTAACTCCAACGTCGTGGCACGTGCCACCACTTTCTCCTTCAGGGTAGACTGAATAAAAGCACAGCCAAGGTTTGTATCCAACTGTCAATGGACCTGTTGTATAGACTGGTACCTACCGGAATATGTTTGTCTTCTTCGGATTTAAAGTTTCCGGTCATTTTATCCATGAACGCCTTCGCGACGAAACGATAGTCGAAGGGGAGCACATCACACTTGAGGAAGTCAATCCTCGTGTTGGAAGCAGACAGAGATTGCTGGTTAACTTGGAGGAACGGTGACGAAATGGCGCTAAGACCTTTCGACTGAAAGACGCTATCGGTGTCGTAAAACAAGTTACTTAGATCGTGACTCAGTTGCTCCAGTACCTTGTACTCATGAGAAGAACCGACAGACACGAGGTTCGCGTTGAGACCTCGAGATAAACCTGCGAATAGGAGCTGGTGATATGTTAGTTTCAATTCGAGATGATAGACCACCTTCGTTAATTTCGTACCTGCGCCGTTGCCTGCTTGTGGAACATGTCGTGATGGTCTTCAGCTGACTCTCAATGAGCACCCGAAGATTTCCTTTTTCTGCCTCGGCTTCTATTCGCAACTTCTTTTGTCTTTTTGCTAAACCTTGCCAGGCACCAAGTCGTCTGTTGTCGGACGACAGGAAGTCGCAGGAACTATCTGCCTCTAGAGATGTCATAAACTGGAGCGCTTCTACTTGTTCCTGCAAGCCTGCAGCCTCTACTCGCAGCTCAAGCAGCTGCATTTTATGAAGGTCTCGCGATCGATTTTTTCCTGGAACTTTTAACTTGGCTTTGACGGAGGCGATTTCCTCTGCGTCAACGCTGACTTGTGCACTGGAATGAAGTCGTGGTCCTACCAGTGTCATGTCTGAGACGGTCTCCACTGGCACGTTGTGCACACTGGGACTACTATCATCGCTGCTGTGACCCGACGTGAATCTATAGAGACATCGTCACAAGTGTCAAAGAAGGCCAACGTTGCCTCTAGCGCATTTAACTCCTCAGTGTTCATCTGAATATTGCGTTGCTGGCTTTGAGTAGTCAGCGCAAATAGAAAATGAACGGTGCGTGTGGTCAGTCATCAGGACCTGACCAAGTTACCAGTTTTACTTGTTTAGGTTACAAAAATGATGGGATAAACGTTTTGTTGCAGACAGATAAACTTAAACAGAAACATACGGGGCAAATGTTGACCAAATGTCCCACTGGCGCTTTTCTAACTTCACGTGATATTAGCTCCACGTCCGAAGTACTAATAAAAACCTTGCTTTATTTAAGGTTGTGAAAACTTGGTATCGCAACTTAACTAGTGCAAATATGGTGAATATTGCCTGTGCATGATGCAAGTGCAGCATAATGAGGTGCGATTCGACCTAAAAACACTCTATGCGCGTACTTTACACTTTGGTGTTCTTGACGTTAGATTACCAGTTTTGGTATTGGATAAAGATTTCGAAAGATGATAAAGCAACTTTGCACTTTCAAGGTAATTTTGAAAATATAAATAAGATGATACAGATGTTCTGTGCATGGATGAATATAGAGGGTTTTCCGGAAGACACAAAGGCATAGTTATGACTAGAGAATTGGGCTGGTAGTGCACCTATTATTAATAGGGGTTTCAAAATCGACGTTCTTGGCATTTATTCCAGCTCCAGACGGTGACGCCATTTCACGGGGAGTGTCACTGTATTTTGAAAATCCGAAATACCCTTGGTATTTTTACAATACTATTTTGGACGAATGACCAAGGGAAGGAAGGGGGTCAGCAGCAGGAAGTCGATGCCTTGCCTCTCTACGAGAAAGGCCGTGCCATTGGCGTCAGCTTTACCAGCACTCACCCCTCCCTCTCTCTATAATCTACCATTTTGCTCCCTCCCCCGCATCCTGACAGGCACATCGCTGTAGCATAGCGTTAAGAGAAAGCCTTCGGGCCGCTTACTCTTTTTGCACACTACATACTTGTAACTACATACACAACGAGGTCGTGTTTTAGCTATAGAGATCAGCGCGAGCAAGGCTTCCTTCGTGCGGCTGACTCTGCAAGTATAAAAAAGGAGTGCTACCACGGCTATAGCTGACCGCGCACTCCGCCAAAGTGACGATTTTGAAACCCCCTATTAAATTTTACATAATCTAAAGCTGACTTTAGAGTTGTAATGAGCAATCGCTATAATGGGCTTCTTTTTGTTTTTGGATTAAAAATCAAATACAATTTACAACGAATATACATGTACAAGTTGTCATACGACATTTCTAAGGAATATTTATCTGTTTATGAAGGTAATGTAATTTGAGCAAGGGGGTCATTATCTATTATTATAAGAAGAAAATCTTAGTAGCTCACAACCACAATTTCTAAAAGTCTTTTTTTCATTTCGAAATTCGGCTTGTGTTTACCACTCCATATTCGTACTTTGCCCGAAAGATACTTGACACATTGGCAAGTAAACATTTTCGTTCAAGTGATGAGTACACGATCCAGAACCAGCGAGCCAAGATCAGTTCTCAATCTCCAGTCCGAATAATAAGCCTTTAACAACTTAACCGAACGGTTTGGCAATTGAAAAAGACAATCTCTATTTTCCATGTGTGTGTACTCTGTAGCACCATTATTCAGACCTCTACAGCGGAGACACTTAGACCCGCTGCAAGTCGCATCGAAAATGAGACCTCACAACAACGTCAAAACAAGGCCACCCACAGAATGCCGGAATTAACGGTATTTTTGCAACCGATCAATTTTTTGCAACCAGTGGCCCGTAAAAAGTCTGCAGCACCAACAAAATTAACCAGTTTGGCATCAAAACAGTGTCCCAGTTAAAGCGCGCTATTGCTTACAGTATTGTGAGCAAAGCGATGGTTTCAAATGGACAGGAGTATCTTATGCGAGATTTTACGCCTTCCGACTCTTACGGTTTTGTCTTGAAAGGTACTTTTTACACGGTTGCAGAAAACACGTTAACCCTTTCGTTTCCATAAAAATGCATAGAGTATGATTTAGCAAAAGTGGGTGGGTCTCTTAAATTATCCGTCCTGGTTTTGTCAAATAGACTAATCGTTTATTGTATTAAATAACGTATTACACCGTATTTTGATATATGAAATTCTCTGAGACGGTGGCAACCCAACTGTCGCAAGCACCAATATCTACCACTTAGAACGCAAGCGTAGTCTATTTTTCACCTCAAATTTTATTGTGTCTCTTACGTTACGGTGTTGTGTGGCACACCGAAGAATGCACTCGAAGCCCTCGACGAGGGGGGAGGGATACATACTAGCGGAAGCGCTCTATAGTGATTTCAGCAAAGAAAATCATTTGTTGGCGTCTAACATCTAAAAGATAGGGTAAAGATTCCCCGAGGCTGCCCTCATTACGGAACCGAGACCGAGACGTCGATGGATGGAAACACTGACTGAGGATACCGACATACGGGTCGACGATCACGTAGCGGTGGCACGTGCACCCGCGGATAGGGCGAGTACTGCGACCCAGGCGATGAATACGAGTGCGTTGTCGGTTCCGGAGGGGCAGCAACAGACGAACGAGGTGCTTTTTGTCCATGACCCGCCGGAGATGACGACCGTCAACACCACCGTCATCGACAGCAAGCTGGGACTCACGATAACAACAATCGACGGCCACACCACACGACGGAGGTGGCCATGGCGCCAACCTTGGACGGCAAGACGGATCTAGAGGCGTACGGCATTTAAATCTATGTGACGACGACATAAGATGCTAATGTCACAGTGAAATCAAGAAGAACAAGATCAAAGTCGATGGAAGCGTCGTGCAATGTGTGAATATACTGCGTATGGCAGTAAATGCAGGAATCCAACCCAAACGGAAGATTACTGCGAAAAGCACAACGTTACTTTATGCGAAAGCACCTACCCACTCGATACATCCAGCCACATCTTTGTCAAGAAGCGTCATGGTCATGCTGGCAGAAGTACCATGGATATTATCTGCCTAATCTGGTCTACAATCTCGAAGGTCATCTCATGCGAAGCTCTTCGATATACAAAATGCAGGCACCTTTCCTCCGATCAAAGGCAAGCAAGAGGACTACGCGTTAGGCTCACGTGGCTCACGTGACCGCAGTTCCGGTGTCGCATCGGTACAGCAATTTGATTATATGAAAAAAATGAGAAGTGGATTTATAGATACTTGGTTGGTGCAGATTTTTGTAAGCAAAACTACCCACACTACACTGCAAGCTTGAGGACAAACCACGCTTCGGTAGCTCTCAACGTGAAGATATTATTGCGTCAGATGTCCATATGGCCGGTTGCGAGTCATCGTAAACTGCATTTTCTCCCAGACCATCGGCGAGGTGCAAGTGGCTGCTGGTGGGACAAATTTGCATTAGTCAAGGTGGCCAACGACTAGCAAAGAGGCTACATCCTCTCGCACTGTTCCGTGCCTGCCGACAAGATGAATTGGCGTTTGACGAGCAGCGTGTGTAGCAATCGCTGCAGGTCCAACACAATGGACATCAGTCGGAAATTCGCAGTCTAATCACCAGCCACACCGTGTACAAACCGTCGTAGTAGCTACCGCGCATGATTGTTGTTGCCGCTGACGCTTCGTGTTCACATCGGTTAGGGAATGCAGCGGCCAGTGTAGCAACGGTATCGCTCCAAACGGGCAGCATGTATGACTGACGTTCGGCGCCCATGTAGCGTTAGCATCGTACAGCGTGCGGACCGGCGTGGCGACAGCGACTTGTCGGCGTTAGCAACTTATGTGTGGACCAGCGTGACGACAGCATGGGAATCGAGCAGCATTTCCACCAGAGATTTCGGTGGTGTCAGGCAGCGTGCAATGGTAGTGACATCGGTCAGTGTCAGGCGGCGGATGGGTTAGCAGAGATGGGTGGGGGCAGTCGGTATGAACCCGAGTGTTCACAAGAAAGGAAATTGCGGAATGAGACTCGTTGGGGCTTGGCGCGCGCTCGACGCCCCCGCACGCGAGTTTGAATCGTTGACCCTCCAAAGCGGCTTGTTTCGCGCCAAAACATTGCGAGCTTCAATGTTGAAGTCACGTTTTCGCCGATGTCCTCGGTTTGACCAATCAAATAGCATTCCGATGATTCTAGCAGTCTGATTGGCTAGCAAAGTGATCTTTAATATACGCGTATGGCTACCTATTTCGATTATGGGTAGTACCTATTTTTGCTATGAGGACCAATTACCTTGCAGTAGTTATACCCGACAGCGTATGCTCCTTTGTCGGGTCCGTTTTGACGTAGAAAAGCGTACCTGAGGAAATGTAAGCCAGTAGTTCTGTGGCTGTGCGCTTCAAGACCACATCCTCAAAAAAGGTAATCCTAACTTTGATCCTGGAGGTAGTAGTTAGATCTCTACCACAGCATGTCGTTCGCCAATTTAAGTAGTAGTATGCTCTTGTGTTTTTGAAATGACATCTCCAGTTAACTTTTTAGGTACGTTTTGGTTGGAATTGGCCATTGCTTTTTTTTCGTACAATGATCTTTCGAACG